TCTACCTATCCATGAGCATGGTATGTTTTTCCATTTATTTAGATCCCTTTGGGTTTCTTGCAGTAGTGTTTTGTAGTTTTCTTTGTATAGGTCTTTTATATCCCTGGTTAGATTTATTCCTAAGTATTTTTTAGGGGCTATCATCAATGGTATTGTCTTCCTGATTTCCTTTCCAACCTTCTCTTTATTAGTATATAGGAATCCAACTGATTTTTGTATCTTTATCTTGTATCCTGCTACTCTGCTGAATCTTTTTATTAGTTCCAGTAGATTTCTTGTGGAGTCTTTAGGGTTTTCTATGTATAGTATGTATACATACTATAGTATGTATAGTATGTATACATGTATACTATGTATACATGTATAGTATCATATCATCCGCAAACAGGGACAGTTTAACTTCTTCATTACCAATTTGGACGCCCTTTATTTCTTTTTCTTGCCTTATTGCTCTAACTAGAACTTTCAGCACAGTGTTAAATAGGAGTGGTGATAAAGGGCATCCTTGTCTTGTTCCTGTTCTCAAGGAAGATGTTTTCAGCCTCTCTCCATTAAGAATGATGTTGGCCATTGGTTTTGTAAGATGCCCTTTATTACGTTGAAAAATTTCCCTTCTATACCTATAAAATCGGTACACTAGTTTTTAACATTAAAAATTCTTTTGTCATCATTTTATCATTGTTTAAGCAGCCAGTGCTTTTTTTTTAATTCTTTTGTATTCTAAGTTATATAGTACTTTTAATTCAACAGGGTTGTCTTCAAGGAAAGTGGTATTAAATACAAGTGGCCTGTTCTACAATATAGAGCTTCTGAACTTTGGACAGGTAATTATCCTGACTATAACAAGAAGGGTTTGATTTTACTTTACTGTTCAGTTAAGTGAGCAAACAAGTAAATATTTGTTTTTTTTGTTTTGTTTTGGTCTTCAAACTCTGTTAGATATATCAAGCTTTTAAAGTCAACGTGGTGAGCAAGTGCTCAGGAGTCAAAGGTAAATGTATTTTCTGAAAAATGTGTAAGAAATAATATTGTCATTTGAAGACTCTAAAATCATCACTTGAATTTTCTATAATACTCTTCCATATATTTTTTATAAAGTAAAATTAAATGTATGATAATAGAAAAACTGTGTTTTTTCCCCCATGGGACTTAACATAGGCCCCTTCTTAACAGTTAACATCTTTATCTGTTCAGTTTAAATGTCTACATCTTTAAAAATACTGTATGTCTTGCTATCTTTCTGTAGTAGTAATTTGGATTTAGTTGTCTAATGTTTTTCCGGTTACTTAGTACTTCTCAAATGCTCTAATATCTTTTGTGAGTCTAATTAAATCATTATTATTTAGGAATTCTCCATAATTTCTTATGACATATAACCCTTTCTGATTTTTTTAATGAAAAGGATAATTGTGTAAACAAATAAGTATTGTAACAGCTTATGTAACATTTGGTATGCCATAATGGTTACTAATACATATTTCTTTTTTTGGTTTAACAGAAGAAATAACTAGTATCTACAAACTTCACATTCCCTGGTCTTATGAAGATTCACTAACCATTGCACAGTACGTATATGAAAGAATTTACTTTAAACTTTGTCTTTTTGAATAATGGATACTCTGTTTAGTTCATTTATTTAAATCACATGTACTATTAAAGTATGTATATATCCTTTATGTAGTAGTATTGTGCCCATAATTTAAGATAATACGTAGTAATTCTTTATAAAGTTATATATAACGTGAACTTACTTGCTTGAAACACGAACCCCTTCCTACTCTTTTCCCCCAACTCCTGCGTCCTAGAGAGGGCATTCAAAGATCTATTCATATAACTGAAAAAAATTGTCCATTCATCATCACGTGGTTTCAGATAGCTGGCTTCTTCTATATCCTTTCATTTTTATTGTGCTGAGGATGATTTAACCATGGTCATTTACCAGAATTTTTTTTTTTTTTTTTTTTTATTGTGCTTTAGGTGAAAGTTTACAGCACAAATCAGTTTCTCATTCAAAAATTTACACACAGATTGTTTTGTGATGTAGGTTACAGTCCCCACAGTATATCAACACTTTCCCCCTTTTCCCTTTACACCCCAGGTTCCCCGTGTCCATTTGTCCAGTTTTCCTGTCCTCTCTGCCTTCTCATCTTTGCTTTTGGACAGGTGTTGCCCATTTGGTCTCATACACTTGATTGAACTAAGAAGCACATTCCTCACGTGTGTTACCATTTGTTTTATAGGCCTGTCTAATCTTTGGCTGAAAGGTGGACCTCAAGAGTGGCTTCACTTCAGAGTTAGCAGGGTGTTCTGCTAGTCTTGGGGGTTCCTCCAGTCTGTCAGACCAGTAAGTCTGGTCTTTTTTGGTGAATTTGAATTTTGTTATACATTTTTCTCCTGCTCTGTCCAGGGCACCTTTTTTAGTCATCTAGTGCTGCTATGACAGAAATACCACAAGTGGATGGCTTTAACAAACAGAAGTTTATTTCCTCACAGTAAAGTAGGCTAAAAGTCCAAATTCAGGGCATCAGCTCCAGGGGAAAGCTTTTTTCTCTGTTGGCTCTAGAGGAAGGTCCTTATCCTCTGCAATCTTCCCCTAAACTAGGAGCTTCTCTGCTCAGGAACCTCAGGTCCAAAGGCCCTGCTCTGCTCCTGGCACTGCTTTCTTGGTGGTATGAGGTCCCCCACTCTCTGCTTGCTTCCCTTTCCTTTTATCTCTTATAAGATAAAAGGTGGTACAGGCCACACCCCAGGGAAATTCCCTTTACATTGGATCAGGGATGTGACCTTAGTAAGGGTGTTACGATCTCACCCTAATCCTCTTTAACATAAAATTACAATTACAAAATGGAGGACAACCACACAATACTGGGAATCATGGCCTTGCCAAGCTGACAGATATTTTGTGGGGACATCATTCAGTCCATGACAGCCCCCTATTGGGATCCCTGTCAGAGCCAACTGTGGTGGTAGCCGTGCACCATCTAGTTCTTCTGGGCTCAGGCTGATGGAGGCTGTGATTCATGTGATCCATTAGTCTTCTGGAGTAACGTTTTCCTTGTGTCTTTGGTTTTCTTCATCCCACTTTGCTCTGGAAAAAATGGGACCAATAGATGTATCTTAGATGGCTGCTCCCAAGCTATTAAGACCCCAGACACTAATGACCAAAGTAGAACATAGAACATTTTCTTTATGAACTATGTTATGCCAACTGACCTACGTGTCCCCCAAGACCATGGTCCCCAGCCTTCAGCCCCAGTTACTTGGTCCCTCAAGGTGTTTGGATGTGTCTAAGAAGCTTCTATGAGTTTGCCTTTGTCAAGTTGTGCTGTCTTCCCCTATATTGTGTGTTATCTTTCCCTTCACCAAAGTTAACACTTGTCTGCTATCTAGTTAGTGATTTCCCTTCCCCACCCCCACCATCAAAGATTGTTTTTTTCTGTGTGTATACTTTTTCTTGGGTTTTTACAATAGCGGTCTTATACAATATTTGTCCTTTTGTGATTGATTTACTTCACTTAGCATAATGCCCTCCAGATTCATCCGTGTTGTGAGATGTTTCCGGATTTATCATTGTTCTTTATCATTGGGTAGTATTCCACTGTGTGTATGTACCATAATTTGTTTATCCATTCATCTGTTGATGGGCACTTAGGTTGTTTCCATCTTTTTGCTATTGTGAATAATGCTGCAGTGAACATGAGTGTGCATACGTCTGTCTGTGTGACAGCTTTTATTTCTCTAGGATATATTCTTAGGAGTGGGATTGCTGGATTGTATGGGATTTCTATTTCTAGTTTTTTAAGGAGGTTGCCATATTGTTTTCCATAGTGGTTGTACCATTTTACATTCCCACCAGCAGTGCATAAGAGTTCCAATCTCCCCGCAACCTCTCTGACATATGTTATTTTCTGTTTTTTTGATTCATGCCAGTAATGTTGGGGTGAGATGGTATCTCATTGTGGTTTTGATTTGCATTTCTGTAATGACTAATGAATGGAAGCATTTCATAGTGTGTCTGTTAGCTGCCTGAATGTCTTCTTTGGTGAAGCGTCTGTTCATATCTCTTGCCCATTTTTAACTGGGTTATTTGTCTTTTCATTGTTGAAGTGTTGAAGTCTTCTATAGATTTTAGAGATTAGACCCTTGTCGGGTATGTTGTAATCAAAAATTTTTTCCCAGTGTGTAGGTTCTCTTTTTACTTTTAGTGAGGTCTTTTGATGAGCATAAGTGTTTAATTTTTAGGAGATCCCAGTTAGCTAGTTTATCTTCTGATGTTTGTGCATTGTTAGTTATGATTTGTATTCTATTTTTGCCATGTACTAGGGTCCCTAGTGTTGTCCCTATTTTTTGTTCCATGATCTTTATTGTTTTAGGCTTTATGTTTAGGTCTTTGATCCATTTTGAGTTATTTTTTGTGTATTATGAGTTATGGATCCTGTTTCTTTTTCTTTTTTTTAACAGAAGGACATCCAGTTTTGCCAGCACCGTTTGTTAAATGCTGTCTTTTCCCCACTTAGTGGACTTTGGTCCTTCGTCAAAGATCAGCTGATCATAGATGGATTTACATCTGGGTCTCAGAATTTTGTATTTAAGAATTGATTAATTTAAGTTATCATTTCAGGGTTCCATCTTCCACAGAAATTTCTCTGAAACTCCATGTTGCTCAACCAGAAAATGACAGCCATGTAGCATTATTAAAAATGTACACATCATCAGACTGTCACTATGAGGTAAGTTGTATGCTTACTTAATCTTTATGTACGATTTAGTCATGAACTAAGCTGGAAATACTTTTTTTATATTAGCCTCAGATATATGATGATACAGAAGCCGATAAACATAAGAAATAAAACAAACACAAAAGGAACTCACTGCCATCGAATAGATTCCGACTCCTGACAGACCCATGTGTTACAGAGTAGAACTGCTTCATACGATTTTCTTGGCTATAATCTTTACGAAAGCAGATTACTAGGCCTTTCTTCCATGTTGCCCCTGAGTGGGTTTAAACCACCAATTTTTACGATAGTAGATGAGCGCAAATAATTTGCATCACCCAGGGACCTTATTAAGAAATAAGGCACTTAAATATTTTAAGCATTCTCCATTTTGCCAATTGGTACTACTTCAGTATTTCCTTTGCTGGACCCTTTGAAATTATACATCTTAATAAGTAATAAAAAATAAAGTGAAAATTGAAACTGCAATTAACCCTCTAAATTTGGTAGCCCAAAGTCCAGAATTCTCTATAAAATGAAGAACATCATGAAATCAGCTGGCATGACTTTACTGCAGTACTTGACATGATGTTTATTAAGCTCTATTTGGTTAGCTTAAGGATTTTCTTTCCTTTTCATTAATTATTTTAAGCTCTGTTACTCATTAATATATGTAATTTAGTGCATATTGTGTTTGTTTGACAATCAAAGTAGATCTCTTGGTACTAGAGAAGGAAAATAGACTTTGAGTAACAGTTTATTTACATATGGATTCGTGAACTGAAAGAGTCCCTCCCTGTTGTCAGAACATGCCAGGTTCCAACAATTTCAGATTTAATTTGTTGAAGTACATATATATTTAATGTTGGTGACGTCTCAGATCTCTGGTTTATGTGAAATACCTTATTTCTGCTCAACTGTTTTAAACCAAGCTTAAATATTTAGATTCTTTATTAGAATTTACTTTCTTAGGGTGGTCTAGGATTGGCATTGTCAAGTGAATAGAATGTATCCCTCTGACCAAGTTTCGATTGGTCATAATTATTCGTTATCATGAATAATTTAGATTTTGTGAAATTTATGAATGCTTTAGTATCTTCTAACAGTGAAGGATTTTATAGGGCTGTAATGGTTTTTACATGTGACTTCTTATTTTTATGTATTACAGCGATAGTAAAAATTGCATTAGTCTGACTCCAAATACTGCAGTGCTCTCAAAATGTCCATGTGTTCATGTTTATGTGTTTCCTTTTTACTATCAAAAAGTCCATGTTTTGCCAACATATAGTTATTTTATAACCTCCCTATGAAAGATTTATATCCTTTTCCCAGACTTCCCAGTGTCAGAAGTTTTTTGTGGTAGAGATAATCAATGATGCATTTTTTAAAATATTGTTTTGACTTAAATGTTCCTAGAGTGCTGTATTTGTCCCTGGTCTTATGTCATGTGAAATGTGTTTTTATGAAATTTGCTCAGAACTAGCTTAGCTTAACTATATTCAGAGCTATGAAACTGTAGGTTTTAGATTTTTAAAGTACTGATTATATAGTAGGTTGATTAATTTGTACTTAATTTTTTTTTAGCAAAGATATGGACTCAGTCATTCAATAAATTCCTTTAGCTGGCATGGTCTGGTAATAAGAAGTTCTAGTTAATTTAGTATTCTGATTAGTAAAGGTTATCACATGTACCATAGCATCCATCCAACTGTCAAAGAATCACAATACAGGAAAATATACTTAACAGTAAAACTACACTCAATACAATTTAAATGTTAGTGATTCAGAAGATTCTTTAAGATCTTGAGTGCCTTTAGGTATATCATTATGAGAAATTAATTATTAGTCTTAGAGACATGTAGAAGTGCTCAATATAACAAAATGTGAACTAAAGGGGTTTAGGGGAAATAACTTTTTTTTTTTTTTCTGTAATTGTTTTCAACTAGGTGACAGTTAAGACTTCTTTTCCACAAATACTTGGACAGGTAAGAGAAATTCCTAGTTGATTACTTATTGCCTTGTGAATAGATGCGGTAATGTAGAAGGTGGCAAACTTTTTCTGTACAGGGCCAGATAATAGACATTTTAGGCTTTGCAGACCACATTTGGTCTCAGTTACCACTGCTACTGCTTCATTTTTCTTGTTTCTTCTCCCATTTTAATAAAATAAAATCCAAAACTATACTTGGCCCATAGGCTGTAGTTGGCCAGCCACTGCTTTAAGGTGATGTTTTACATGATACTTCTCAGAAATACTTTCTAGAAACAGCTGATGTCCAATTCCCAAACAAATTAATATTTTTGACAAAATGAATATCATATTAAAGTTTCATGTTCCTCATACTACATTATAATTCATTGTCCAATAAAGTCTGTGAGCTCTGTCATATAAATGAACATTTTCAAAGAACTTGTACATGCTCAGTTTATAAAAGGCAAAAATAGTTATATTAAATGTAACATGTTAAAATAGTTTAAATTTATTTGGAGTATCTTGCTATAACTCATAGGCAAAAGTAGTGTTTCAGAAATACTTTATAGAGCAGTAGTACTACAGATATTATTCAGCATCATTAAAATTTACAGAATGTGAAACCTGGACAGAAAAAAGATGATATTGATTTAAGGAAATTACATAGTTTTGAATTTCACTAAAATTTTTTATTGTAGTTTTTATTACTTTCACTTTATTTTTTGTGTTTTACAATTCGGGTATAGTGGAAATTTTTAATGTTTAGTCATTTAATACTGTGGTTATAATACCATGGAAAAACTTACAAATCAAAATTAAATAAGAAATTTTTTTGTATGCATTATCTCATTTGATCCTCACAACAACCTGGTGAGAACTAATTATCATTCAATTTGTAACAATAGAAAATTCTAAGCTAACGTGTAAAAATTTTTATGCTAAATTAGAAAGGGAAGATTAAATATTAATATAAATTGGAAAATATTATCATGGATAGTTGTAATAAATACTCTAAAATGTTAGGGACGACTATTAAGAAAAATTATTTATTGGAACATAGAGAAAGAATTCATGCTATTAATGTATTTTGAGTATGTCCAAAAGGTATGTTATCATATTGGAGTTTACTGGGTAAGAATATAACATACTGTCTATTATCTATATCATCCTTGGGGCACATAATGCAGATTAATGATTAAAAAAAAAGTCAAGTTAGCTTAGTATTCTATAGTCAAACACAATTATATGTATACCAAAAGAGGACAGATAATATTCTTGTTTAGACATAGAGATCTTTCTAAAGAATAAGGATGTATGGGCCCTAAAGGATCAGAGGCAGTTTTTTTTTGAAAATGTCAAATAAAGACTTTGTGGTAGTTGAGTTATCTCAAATTATTGAAAGGTATAAGACACTTTTCCTTCAAGCATGTTTGAACTTTTAGCTGGAGGGTGGTAGGAGAATGAATTGAAGTTACGGTATGTATTTTGTTCACTTTTAGAAATAACATATATTTTGAATGCTGTTGATTCAGTCAGTAAACACTTTAGAGAAGAGGAGTAAAGAGAAACAACTTGGAATAATCGTTAGTCTTTGAGTAGCTAATTTTCCGAAAATTACTATTTTTTTCAGATGGAGGAAGATACATTTACGTATTCCTTGGTCTCCTCTTATGAAAGAGAACAAAAAGTAAACTGAAAGTTACTTTCTCAAGAGAATTCCATAAACTTCTAGTCAATCATTTCTCTATAGAAATGAAGTCCAGTGTTGCCAGATCTCTACATTTTAAGGGAAGCTAGAAATCTGAATTTTTAGGTGAAATTTTTTAAGTTTTCAGTGTCAAAATTTAAAGAAATACTGTACCAAATACTAAGCCAACGGAAGCGTGTCTACAGTTTGAGTGTGGCCCAAGGAGGCCAGTTTGTAATTGTTGATTTAGTCTTCTCTTTCACCAGCTGTTTCTCTAGGCCAGTAGAACACTTAATACTTAAAACAGTGAGGATCATTAAAAAAACTTTATGTTTAAAATACCCTGTGTAGGGCCTCTTAAAGATTTCTAAAGACAGTGAAAGGTGTTGAAGGTTAATAATTTCAGCTAACATCTTCTAATCGCTTACCATATGCCAGTTACTATTCCAAATGCTTTACACAAAGGAACACATTTAATCCTCACAATCCCCTGTGAGATAAATGCTATTATCTCCATTTTACTGGTGAGAACTGAAAGAGGAGGGGTAAAACGACTTGCCGAAGGTCATAGAGCTGTGAGAGGCAATGCTGGAGTGTAAACCCAGGGGTCTGGTTCCTGAGCCTGCTATACAGCTTAGCTTTCCTTCCATATTCTTGATAACTAAGTTATGCTATATATTTCCTATATATGCTATATATGTCATTAGCAGGCAATGAGTATCAGCTAGTAATCAGAAAAATGACCTTTTTCCTTTTTCTAACTCTTAACTTCCCTCACTCAAAAGTATAAATCATGAGTATGGGATATAAATTATTTTGTTTTTCTAATTTCTTTTAACCTGGGAACCTCTAGAGGAGCTTCAGGGAGACCCTAAACTTCCTGAAATTTATGCAACATTTTGTGTAAGCATGCCATTCCATATTTTTTTTCAGATATCCAGGGGAGTTTATTCATGTTCTAAAAAAAAATTCTTTGAGATGGAGAACATGCTTTAAAGGAAATTTCTTTTTAATACTTAACGTTTAAAAAAAAAAACATTTTGTTTTTGGTATGTGCGTGTTTTATACAGAGATTGAACCAGCTTCTTTTCTCTCTTTCTCTTTCTCTCTCTCTCTCCAAGAATGCTTTATAGGTGTTGTATATTTCTTCTTTTAGGGGGCACTCAGGGCCCATTTTAATCATACTCTTCCCTATGTTAGTTGTTCATCAAAATATTTTCAATTTATCTTAGACCTTGTCTTAGCTACTTAGTGCTACCGTAACAGAAATACCACAAGTAGATGACTTGAGACACTATAACATAATGGTTAAGAACTTAGACTCTGCATTTAAATCCTAGTTCCACAGATTTCTAAAGACAGTGAAGGGCAAAAGAAGTTAATACTCACACTCCTTACTTACCAACGTGGTTAGGTTCCAGAGACCAGATAATTATGCGAAAATCAATGTTATGTGAAAATGGAGGATTACCACATCAGATCAAAAAATGGAGGATGACTATATCATTACATAACTGCCAAATTACATCATTACATAACTGCCAAACTGCTGAGAATCATGACCCAGCCAAGTTGACATATAGCCTTAACCATCACAAGCCAGCGTTACTCTTGCCTCGCACCTCGGCATTTATTACTGCCAGATGTACATTGTTAATGCACAAAATAGTCGGATAGATTTTTTTACTATTGTCGTAAATGCAAAATGTCAGATAACAAGATAGTCCATGCGTGAGGAGTAGGTGTGATAGCAGCTAATGTTTTCTGATAGTTTATCATGTATGAGTTACTATTCTAATGCTTTACACAAATGAACACATTTAATCCTCATGACCACCTATAAGGTAAGTACTATTATTGACCCCATATTACTGATGAGGACATAGAGAGGAAGAGGTGAGTAACTTGCTTGTCTGTTTTATTTTTAACTGTGAAAGTTATTTGGGCTCTTGTGCCTGAATTTCTTTGCCTGTAAAATAGGGATAAGAATAGAACCTGCTTCAAAGGGTTTTTGGGAGGAAAGCATGAGATAATGCTTGTAAGGTATTTAGCATTATACCTGGAGCATACCGAACGCTCAATAAAGGTGCCTTAAAAACAGTTAGCATGTGCCAGTCAATGGTATATACTGTTTATTATGTCTTTGATGAAAAATTCAGATAACATGTTTCTACTATGCCATATATTCTTAACATTTGAGTTTTGATACCCATTACTGGAAATAATCTTTGTGGTCATGTCAGAAAAGATATAAAGTGAAGAATGACATTTTTACTTCATGTCAGACTATATTATTCATTAACATGAATATTGAGAAGTTGCCCATTGATTTGCCTGTTTTTATAGGTAGTTAGATTTCATGGTGGAGCTCTTCCTGCCTACATTGTATCTAGTATCCTTCTTGCTTATGGAGGACAATTATACTCTCTTTTCTCAATAGGTAAGAATGTTTATAATTTTTAAGCTATTTTTTATTATGAATATTAAAGTAGAACTATTAGTTCTACATATATATAGTGTGTATGTATTTGTTTTAACTCTCTTATATTGAATTGTCATTTGTTAGCAAACATGGTAAGTGAGTTTTTAAAAACAGACACATAGTAGTAGCTACCACTGCTATTCTTTGAAACTCCAAACTAGCAGGTGGTTTTATGACCATTCTTTTCTACATCTTTGGACAACTGACCTAGAGGTCTTCAGTTTGTGGTCTTAAAGCTGCAAATTGTTAACATTCTCTTAGTGTGTCACATTTGTGTCAGTGTTAACTCTTAAATAGTTTTGTTTTTAAAGTACACGGAGGAATCAAACAATATAATAATCTTTATGTAATAACTTTTTTCAGTATTTGTGTCTTTAAAACAGACTAAAACCAATAACCACAGTGCTATTAAACACCAAAAAATTAGCAGTAGTACCTTAATATTATGAAATGAAGTTTTTTAAGCTTTTTTTTTAACAGTATCCAAATAAGATCCACACATTACAGTTGGTCTTTTAAATTTCTTATTCTGTAGGTTCCACTCTCCATCCCTTTTTTCCCTCCGTGAAATTTATTTATTGAACAAATTTCGTTGTTTGTAGTATTGAGTTTCCCACAGTCTAGATTCTGTATCCTTATGGTGTAGTTGAACATATTCTTCTATTTTCTATGTTGCTTATACATTGGTAATTAGAGCTAGAAGCTTAATCAGATTCAGGTAGTTCTTCTCTCTCTCTCTTTTCCCCTCTCTCCCCCTCCAAAAGTGCTTTACAGGTGTCTTATACTTCTTCTATTAGGAGGCACTCAGTCCCATTTTAATCATACTCTTCCCTATATTAGTTGTTCATCAAAATATTTTCACCTTATCTTAGATCTTGTCTTAGCTACTTAGTGTTGCCATAACGGAAATACCACAAGTAGATGGCTTTAAAGAGCAGAAATTTATTTTCTCACAATTCAGGAGGCTGGAAATCCAAATTCAGGCCATGACTCTAGGGGGAGGTCCTTCCTTGTGTACTTCAGCTTCTAGTAGCTGCCAGCAATCCTTGTAGATGCATCCATCTCAGTAGTCTGTTTTCCTCTTTGATCTGTGTGTCTCTCTGCCTTTTTTATAACTTAGAAGTGATTAAGTTTTGGAACCACCCTACTCTGGTATGACCTCATTAATGTAACAAAAGGAAATCCCTATTTGCAAACAGGGTCATAATTACAGGGGGTAGTATTTCAATCGTATTTTTGGGGACATAATTCTGTCCATAACAGACCTACTTCTTAATTTCCTTTCATGTCATCCTGATTTCTCTCTTTTTTTAAAAAAAGTATGGGCCAGTGCTTCCTTATTACTTTTTCATTCTACATGTGAATAAGGAAGATGGATCAATTTCTTGAAAATTCATTATCTGTATCTCCCTTATTTGCTGGGGTTTGGGATCCTTCAAGTTTTAAGAGATCATTAAGAAAATTCCTTCGTAGTTTTCAACATTATACATGTGCCTGAAATTTCTTCTCTTCATTCTGAGGACATTTTAAGATACAGAGTCTCTTCAAGATCTTCTTGTTCTCCATTCTATTCCTGGCGCCTACCACAGTGCCAAGAACACAATAGGTGTTTAGCGTAATGTTTGGTCTGCATCAGCTGTATCAGTTAGGTCCTGGCACACTGAATGCAATACCATATTTTTACATAAATAATGCCTGCCTTCTGTTTGTTCGCCAACCATGCCCTCCCACAAAGGTATTTGCCTAAGCTTGCTATGCTAATTTTTTTACAGCAACATGTAAAAAAAATTAGCATGGGATGCTTAGGAAAATACCTGTGGGGAGGGCAGAGGGCAGAGAGCCTGGTTGGCGAACAACCTTAGAAGGTGAGCATTATTTGCATAAAAATACAGTAATTGAGAGTCCAATGAAGGAACCTTTCAAAGATGTGTGCAAGGTTAAGAGAAATCAACAAGGAATTATGATGCAGTGGGCTGACAACAGGGCCATCTGGTACCTCTAGACTGAAGGGCAAGGAAAGGGAGCAAACCTAGAGAACTGTTGGAGAGGACAGTATTACTGAGCTTTAGTGCAGGAACACTGCATTCACTGCCAGCCTGTGGTTCATCAGGGAAAAGGGCAGGGAAATAAGTACACTGACTTCATTTGCCCCTACCCATCTCTGCCAATACCTCCCATTCACTGATCCTAACTAGAAGGCAGTCCTCAAAAGTCAGCCTTGCAGGGTTCAGAGCCAGTGAAAGATGGAGAATAGTGCTGGAGAGGTACATGTAGAATATATAATAAGACAGACAAAACTCTCCCTAGAATGTTGCAATTAGGACAGTGTCCCAGGAGCCTAAACTTTGTTAGATCTTTGTACACTTGCTGGGCTTGCACAGTAATCAAGGGAGGCAGGAGATAGGAAAAGAGAGAGGGGCCAGAATACGTAAAAGTAGTCCATAAATTCTTTCTACCATTTCTGCCATTATCTTTCCTCAGCTACTCGTTGGCCTTTCAATGACTTTTATCCAGTTTCAAGTCTGTCTTTAGTATTCATTTTAACCTGATTTAACTTGTATTCCAGAAAGAGGAAATAACATTCAATATGATCTGCTCCACACCCAACCTTTTAATTAAGAGATTATTCTGGCAATATGACATCAACCAAACTTGAATAAATGTCTCATCTTAAGTGACTTTTTAGTTGATTGTCAAATGCACATAATTTATATCTGTATAGTTCATAGAGACCCCAGGGTTATGTAAGATGTTGGTTAATCCAGAGGACTAAGTATGGAATTATGCTTTAAACCAATTAAAGCAGTAGTTCTCAACCAAGGATGCATATCAAAAATCAACTGTGGATCATACCTACTAAAGTGACTGTAATCAAAAAGCTAGTAATAGTGTTAATGAGGATGTAGAGAAATTGAAACCCTCATATACTGCTATTAGAAATGTAAAGTGGTGCAACTTCTTTGGAAAACAGTCTGGCAGTTTCTCAAACAGTTAAACATAGAGTTACCATATGACCTAGCAACTGCACTCCTAGGTACGTACCCAGGAGAGATGAAAACATATGTCCACACAAAAATGTGTACACAAATGTTCATTGCAGTATTATTCATAATAGTGAAAGAATAGAAACAATTCAATTGTCCATGAACTGATGAAATGTGGAATATTTCCTGCAATAGAATATTATCAGCTATAAAAAGGAATGAAGTACTGATACATGCTACCACTTGAATGAACCTTGAGAATATTTTGCTAAGTGAAAGAAGCCACTCACAAAGGCCCACATATTATATGATTCCATTTATATGAAATGTCTAGAATAGGCAAAGCTATAGTAACAGAAAGTAGATTAGTGGTTGCCTAGTGCTGCAGTGGGGACTAAGGGGTGACAGCTAAGGAGAACAGAGTTTTTGTTTTTGTTTTTGTTTTTTTTTTAAGAGTAATGAAAATGTTCTAAAATTGATTATGGTGATGGATGCATAACTCTGTGAATATAATAAAAACCATTGAATTGTACACTTTAAATAGGTGAATTGTGTGGGAATTATATCTCAATAAAGCTATATAAAAAGCCAGCTATGGAGCTTTGTGAAAATACAGATGGTGAAACCCCAGCACTGATTTCCTGAATTTGATTCTCTTGTACTGGGGTCTGAGCATCCAGATTTTTTAAGAAGCTTCACAAGTGATTGTAATGTATACTCTTGGTAAGAACCCCTGAGTTATAGTAACTTTTAATCTTTCAAGAGGAGTCTTTGTGATAGTTAATGAGGAGGCTTGCTTTCTCTGACATGAAATATGTTGCTCTTATTGACAGTGTTGTACATAATATACTTAATTACTATGAATTCTCTAATGCATGTAATATTTTTTAAATTCTAGGTCATTGCTTAGAATATGATGTTATGTTGGATAAAGAAGCCAAACCTTACAAAGTTGATCCTTTTGTAATTATGATTAAGTTTCTATTGGGGTAAGTCTTAATATCAGTGATAATGATGTTAATTTTGTTTTATATATGAAATGTTATATTTGACTCCATATGTAATGTAAATTTCCATAAAAGTATGGAAATTGACCTCTTTCATTAAATGAGATTTTTCTATTTAGATGAAGACCTAATAAATATATCAACATTTACTTCAATTGCATTTATTTTTAAGTATAATTTTTATTTTAAAAATAATTTTTGAACTTATGTATATCAGTCTAGTCCCTGGGTGAGGCAAATGGTTAAGCGCTCGACAGCTAGCCAAAAAGTTGGTGGTTGGAACCCACCTAGAGGCACCTCGCAAGACAGGCCTGGCCATCTGTTTCCAAAAGGTCACTGCCTTGAAAACCCTATGGAGCAGTTCTACTCTGCACACATGGGGTCTCCATGAGTCAGAATCTACTCAATGGCAGCTAACAATAACATATCAATCTAAGCTTAGTTGTAAATATACTAGGCCTTTAACATTTGCAAAGGAATATATATGGCCCATGACCTTTGCACATCCCAGTTTAATGAATACAAACCATTATAGGGTATTGATGAAACATTGCCTCAGATGACTTTCTCTTGCTTTCCATATAAAGTATGTTTTAGACCTCTCTATCCTATTTTGTATTCCATTCTTAATCTATTCACGTTTTGCAATTTTTGGTTAAAAAACTTTTACTTTCTTGGATCGCTTTGCTTTTATCACTACTAGAAGCTGTTGACTTTCTAAGAACAACAACAAAACACACATTATTTCACACAAGGATCAGTAGAGAGCAGTAAAGGCCCTGATGCTTGAAGATCAGTAGGCTTATTTGCAAGATCAATGATTTGTTCCATACAAGGAATTCAGATTTATTTTTCAGAAAAATTATAAATTACTAAGTACCATAGAACTTTAGGGACTCTGGTGAATGGTCAGACATCTCAAATAGTAAATCTATGAATGTCAATTGTTGATTTTTTTTTTTTTTTTTTTTTTTTTTTTGCTTTTATTGTATGTTTTCTTTTATCCACAGGTATAAATGGTTTAAAGAATTATGGGATGTATTATTTTTACCAGAATTAGATGCCATGTTTTTAACTAGTCAGAGTATGTGTTTCCCCCTTGTGTCCTTGATTCTTTTTCTATTTGGAACGTGTACTGCCTACTGGGGTGGCCTACTCTCTTCTACAGCTGTGAGACTCCTTTCTTCATTGTGGCTAGCTTTGAAAAGGTAAAGAATGAATGACTAAAAGCTTTCTCATTGCTAGTAAGAAGAAATGTATAAGGAACTTTAAAGTTAATTTGTTTTTAGTAAACTTTATAAGATGTATAACTTGCAAAAGCATGGATTGATTTTCAAGTTATGTCTTTGTCAAAGCAAATCATTTATTGCAAGTTAAATGCTACATTTGATTTTGACCTTAGTGCTGAAGAGCCAATCAAAAAAGTATGGCAAATTGTACAAATATATATATTTTTTTTATTTCAATTTTAAAGATCTTCCCAGGCAGTGCTTTTTATATGCTAACTTCTGTAATCAAACCTGAGGGCAAAAGACTCCAGTCAAGATATTTAGGATCAGCATAGATAAGATGTTATAAGAGCTCCAAAAATATTGCCTAGAGTTTTATTATAGGTCCAAAGACTTAGTTTGAATCTAAATAACTGGTAGCCTTTTCTGTTAAATAACTGAGCTAGTTTATATTGCCACTGTTCCTTACCAGACCTGTTATGTAATTTACTATCATGGAGAAGAGTATGGTGTGGAGCTTCATCCTCCACCCTTCTGATGTGCTTCTGACAGGGGTTTTTGTTACTAATACCAAGCATCTGAGTGATCTTGAGGCTGTAGGAAATAGAAAGTTATTCTTCTTCATGTCAAGATGGGAGATGCATGACACAGGGCCTATAATTAATGATTATTTTTTTGCAACATTTTTTCTTCCTTAGTGTAAATACCGGCCATAGTGTATCTAAGTGGAAGAGGAGCTACCAGTGTTACAGAACTTAAAATCAAATATATGTGACTGTTTACCTTTATTAAAAATACCTTACTCTTTACCTTTTGATACTTGTATTAATAAGCAGGAAAGGCTGGCAAGGTACTGTTGTTTTCTTATTTTGACTATGCAACTAACTGTTAATATATGTATATATATCTTAAAGCTTTATTCTTGTTATTCCAGACCCTCTGAACTTCCTAAAGATATCAAGGTGATATCACCAGACTTGCCCTTTTTGACAGTTGTTTTGATCATAGTTAGCTGGGCAACTTGTGGAGCATTTGCCATACTTCTTACTTATCTTTACTATGTGTTTAAGGTATGTCAGATAAAGCTAGAATGGCTGGGCTTTATACCAGGCGGGCATAGAATTTCCTGTAGATATTGTTAACAAAAATGTTAATTTACCGGTGCAGTAACCTGCTATTATATAATAGGTTTAAATGTAAATTTTAAAAAACATCTTAGTTATTTAAATTATATGCAGTTAACTATAGAACTGAAATTATTATTCTGAGTTGGATCTTTGTTAAAAAAAAGTCATCTGTTTCAGGTTGCATTCTTCTCTTGCAAGTGATGTTAACCTTTTAAAAAACATTTTACCAGAGCAGTTTTTTTTCCACACCTCCCTTTTGAACATGGGAGATAGACAAAACAAAAAGTTATGTCAGTGGGGTCAAGCTATCCATCATGCTAAGATAATGTACAATGTTACAAATGTTGCTGAAGAATCAGAGGAAAATTATAAAAATAATTAGGCTGATATTTTTACTAATGAAGTAAAAAACTTTCCCAAGAAGGCTGATAGCAGGAAAACCTAGGAAGTTATACAAGTGTATACTTTCCATATTAATCTTACGGAGAAACAGTTGATACCAGAGTGACTACTTTTTTTAAAAAACAAGTGTATTTGCTTCTGCTTTAATACTAATTCATGCACATTATGAGAAGTTATCAGTGTGAGTGTTTTGATATCCAAAGGAAATTTATGTGCATCAGATAAAACTACTTAGAGCTACTTTGATTTATAAATATATTTTTACTTTTTTTTTTTAATTAAGTATTTAAAACAACTGACCCAAAAGCAAAACTTTCTCAAATACTTAACTTGAGGAAATAATAAATTAAGCTTACAGATTTTCTCGGGTTCTATAAACATTTCACAGGTGTAGATAGTGGAGTTCAGATTTTCAAAGATTAAAATATAGACTATGTTAATACTATATTGAATATAATCAAGTTCACAAGACACTTTAAGATCTTGCAAGGCATCATTTAATCATAAGCTCACAGGATGTAGATGGTATACTAATATATTCTGGCCCCAGTATACTCTGACAGTTTGTTTTGCTTTGTTTCTGTTGTTTTAAATCCATGATAGCAAGCATGTATAGTTTCTTGTCCTCTCTAAAAGAATGTTTTTAAAGTGTTTAAATGAGTTTACAGTTTTTAGATATTTTTAAATGTCTAATTATAATTCTCAGTTTTTTTTTAAAAAATGTTTTTTTTTTTGTTTTGAATTAAAAGTAAAATTAGAAGTCTCTTTTTTTTTCCTAGATTGTTCATCTGCAAGCCAGCCTAACAACTGTTAAAAATAGCCAGACTGCAGTAAGTTTTCTCTACATCACTTTAATATGAAAGAACATGGAAAAATACAAGTTTGTTTTTTAAAAAGGTTGGGATTTTAGAATGTCTTAAAAGGTATTATGAATTTATGTAATTTTAAGAAAAGTGAACCTAAGGAATATTAAATTAAACTTAGATCATTCTACACTTTACTTTCGTTTTTGTCAGTATCTCAGTCATTTTTATTGTCATAAATTATTATCTTTTAAATTTTATTTTGAGTGATTACTTAGAGTTATGTTCTCAGCAGTGGAAATAGCAAGTCAAGGGAATGAAAGTTTTAGATAACTAATAGCCATTTTAAAGTACTTTTTAAACAAGGTAATTTCAGTATTTTATATCATTTGCATATAGAAAGACATACTTATCTAGCTGTTAAATCATTGAGTATGATTCTAAATAAAACAATATCTTATAGCTGTGTGTGTATGTAGTATCTTGATATTTTTACTTTACTACTTATAGAATCCCAAACACTCCAGAAGAGGTGAAAAAAAATCCAATCATCATAAGGACTCCACAGTACACCATCTTCGTTTATCAACTAGTGATGCTGAAGATAGTCTTCGCATGCACAGTACTGTGATTAACTTATTAACATGGATTGTATTACTCAGTATGCCATCTTTAATTTATTGGTTAAAGAATCTTAGGTGCGTTTTATTTATATAATTATTAATTTATGTGGTTCAAACAATGAATATCTACAGGTAGAGACTTTCTAGATTCCTGCTGGTCCAAATAACTTCGTCAAGAACCAGAAGCTATGTATTACCTGAAATTCAGTTTCAGTACATTTACTTTTTCTCCCTTATAATGAAAATATAAACTTTGGGAATATAAACCCTCCCAAAAATCTGCCCAAGAAAGAGTAATTGTATTTTACTTATTTTAACTTTAATTTTATTTGAGTCTAGACATACGTGAGAATGTGCTTTGTTTTGGGAACTTAAAGTATTCATAATACTAATGTTTAGTGCATCTTTTGATTCATGGTTCAATTTTATGTTTTCTAAAATTTGAGGAACAAAAATGCTTACATTTAAAAATGTTAGAAATAATGAAAGAAGTGTGTACTTTTCTAATGTGCCCCATGCTTTGAAATAAATGATCAGCTGTTTTACTATTGAGAATCGTCATTTGCTATGCTACTTGATAAATTGTCCTAGTTTAAATGAGAACATAAAAATCCACTTCCAAGATTTCTTCTAAAATTTTTAATATCTGGTGAATTGTTAAAAAAAAAAAAAGGCCACCTCATTCAAGTAGTAGTTGAATATAGTTTTCAGAAATGATGTAAATTATCTAGATAACATATCTTAGATAACATATGTTATCTAGATAATTTACCTATAGATTATCTAAATACAGGAAATTTTTTAAGTCAACAGAACGAAAAATTTAATAAATCACAGATTACCAGATGTTAATATCCTTCCTTTCCTTCATTTTTAGTCAAAATCCAGATTTGGGGTCAGAAATGTTTAAGGAGCACAAATTTATGAGTCTGAAAGACTATAGTCAACACTCTGTTAATAAATGCAAGAGATGAGAATTTGGATTTTAAAATGATAAGGGATAATTTATATAAATCTTTGTTTTTATCTGTTTTTTATAGAGCAATCTTAATATATTTTAAATTACATGTTTTATAAAAACTATTTGTATATGACCTTTTAAACATATATCTATTATAAAAAAAGGAAGTGCTTCTATGTTGGATATTTTATTTCCTTTAGTAATTTCTGGCATAACTCTTCATGCAAACCTTGGATTTAAAGATGTAGAGCAAAAATTATTTATCAGAGATTTCATGAGGTGTTTAGAGCTCTCTTCTATCCATGTTGCTACTGTAATGCTTTGAAGTTTATTTAATTTGATTGATTCTGATAATTTAAAATGATTGAGTCTACTTTGTTGATTTCTGCTTTTTTTTTTTTTTTTTTTTGGTCTCTTTGACACAGGTATTATTTTAAACTTAATCCTGATCCATGTAAACCTTTGGCATTTATTCTTATTCCAACTATGGCAATTCTTGGAAACACTTACACTGTTTCAGTGAAATCAAGGTATAGTAATTTAATCTTTCTTTTTCTCACATCTTTTCCTGGTCTTTATCCTCCTTTATTTTATGTCATATTTTATGCTTTTTACTCCCAGTTACTTTGACATTCCTAAAGATCAAGCCATAATAGGAGTTATGATTTGTGTGCACCTGGTATGCTATACTTGTTTTCTTATAGACTTTGCCGGTTAGAATATAATAATATTTTTTCTTTAAAAAGTTATCTTTTAAAACAATATGATGTCTAGAATTTGCTTCCAAAAAGTACAGGAGGACAGGAAGTGAATGGGGGTAGAGATGAAGTTAAGATTGGCCATGGTTGATAGTTTTTGAAGCTAGGTAATGGGTGTGTGACAGTTAGTTATAGTATTCTGTCTACTTTTGTATGTTTGAAATTCTCTAATAAAATTTAACTTTTTGTTGACTGACTGACTGTTCTGGGAGCCTTTTTAGTTGATTCTGGTAGAGATTTGCAGAATCACGCAGACCTGAGGTTTAATTTTGCCTTTAATGGCTTTATGTCCATAGACAAGTTTCTTAACCCCTCTTATCCTCAGTTTCTCTCTTCTGAGATTAAAAACGGTGATAGTCTTTCCTGATGGTATTTTTCTTTTAAGAATATCTAGTGTTTTGTCCTATGTTCTCCTGTTATTGGGAACTAAGGATGTTTTCCGTTTTTCGTTTGTTTTGTTTTTGCTTTGCTATTATAAGTGGGGTTAAACATTTGTGCATCTATGTCTTAGTGAACATTATTGGTCATTTTTGTTAGGATAAATTTCTAGAGGTAGAATTGCTGAGTAAAAGGCTAGCTAGTAATTTTAAAATTTAAAAAGCCAAGCAAAACTTTCTGTTTTCCATCTAGAATTATTTTTTTATTTTCTAGCCAAAATATAGCTTGTATTGATCTTTTAAAAAATCATAGACAAGTAAATTTCATTGTATGAGAAGGCACTTTATTTAAAGGCAGCTACATCACTTATCTTTTTCAAAACTGTATAATAACATATTCCATTTCAGTTCAAAATTTAGTTTATATAATAATGTGTATTTCTCTTTCTTCTTACAGTAAATTGTTGAAGACTACTTCACAGTTTCCACTTCCTCTTGCTGTTGGTGTGATTGCTTTTGGGTCAGCACACTTATACAGGGTTCCATGCTTTGTCATCATTCCTCTTTTACTCCATGCATTATGTAACTTTATGTAAGATTGGATTTAAAGAATGAAAAAGATTATTTATGCCTTTAGGGCCAGTAATAAGAAGGGAATGCACAGATCCATCAACATGGACATCAAGATTCTTTGGAGAAGACAAGTCTATTTTTACAGTATTGAAAATAGGAAATTAGTTTTGTAATGCTTGAGGAAAGTAGTTGAAGCATGGTTTTGTTTTGTGGTGTAGTGTCTGTGTACTAATGATTTTTGGAAAAATTACTAAAGGGATATGGTAGCCAATATCTTTGAGGACTCTTGTGCATATCAGCTAGTCGGCTTGATTGACAATACCAGGGATCTTCTAGAGATTCAGTAGATGCATCATTGTTTATAATCTCACCTCAAGCATTATGCTCTTGTTTCATGAAACTCTTCTGAAAAATGTGTTACTTTGTGTTTGCTACAGTGCGCATATTGAGTAGTAAGTCTTAAAATATTGATGAAATTTACAAATATTTGTTTTCTCGAAAGTGAAATAGTCCCAGAGAGTCTTTGGTCATTTTTGGCAACCATGGTGAACAAAGTAGATCTTTTGTTTTCTTATATCTAAGAAATGTAGCTTTGAATTCGAAGGAAACATGCTGTCTCGGTAGCCAGTGTAAGATGGATGATAGAAAAGTAATTCAAACTCAAAAATTAATGGAATTTTCTTGCTACTTTTCAAATACAAATCTTATTTTGTATTGTTGGTGAATATTAAAATAAAAAAAGAAAACAGTGCCCACAGAGTCAATTCTGACTCATGGTGACCCTATGTGTTTCAGAGTAGAACTGTGCTGCAGGGGGTTTTCAATAGCTTTCATATTTTGGAAGTAGACCACCACACCTTTCTTCTGAGGCACCTCTGGGTGGATTCAAACTATAAACCTTTTGGTTAGTAACCAGGCACTTAACTGCACCACCCAGGGACTCTTTGGTGAGTCTTAGGAGACTACTAAAGAGGTCTAATGTTAAATGTAAAGAAAATTCTCATAGATACTTACTTACAGGCATTGGAGCAGTTCATTGTTCAGACTGTACCACTTCGTTTAATTTATTGCCCCCATGGTTGCCAGAAGTGCCTCAGGTCACGATAAATTATTACAAATAGCTAAATTGCAGTGGTCAGAAACAATTCTAGGTCTGCACAATATTTATATACTGTGAAAAAAGATCAGAATCGTCAGATGCAGTACCATATTTGATTTATGAAATTATACTATTATTGGAATAATAGTAGACAAACTGTTAACTCATTAATAGTATAAGCATAAACAGTACACCTGAATAAATTAGAGATTTTAGGCACAAGGTTTATCAGTGGAATCTTGATTTGCCCAGGTTACTTCTAGGATTACTATTTGACTAATAATACATATCTGTTTCATTTCAGATTTCAGTTTCTTTTTAACTACCAACAAGTAGGAAGTAGGTGGTGGAGCTCAGTAGAAGAGTATACTCTCTGCCTTAGAATAAACTCAGACTGAGGTACACCTGGCCCATCACACCCTTCTTTTAGATATGTATACTGTAAATACCCAAAACCTCTTTGAGTACAGTCCTTAAGTACTAGTGATTCTGCAGTTGTACCAGTGGACTTGTGTCCTTGTTAGTACCCAGGATGTCCTAGAGTACCAGTTTCATTTTATCTTCCATTGCATCTGGACTCCATTACAACCTCTCAGCTGTTACTGCCTATAGAGGGTTACCCTACTTTACTGCCTATAGAGGGTTACCCCCACTTGTCATCTGAGTTGTTTCTCAGGTCCTTGCTGTGTTGACATCAGTTGAAGAGGGTCTTGCTATACTTCTAAGGGTTTGATTTTTTTTCAAATTTCATTGTTGTCTTTCCCAGCTTCATACCTGTTGTTCATCATTCATATTTTCACTTACTGAGACCATTAAGGAAACCCTGGTGGCGTAGTGGTTAAGAGCTATGGCTGTTAACCAAAAGGTCAGCAGTTCAGATCCACCAGGCACTGCTTGGAAACCCTGTGGGGTAGTTCTGCTTTGTCCTGTAGGGTATCTATACGTCGGAATCAACTCGATGGCAACATGTTTGTTTTTTTCTGTTTCTGAGACCATTAAAGGAAGTGATAACCTTATAGCAGACATAGCATACCAGGCTGTTACTTGTTTGAGAGGAGTAGCAAAAGGTAATAATCAAAATGTTGATGTGTTCAGTACCAGAGAAGAAAGAATAGATTAGGTTATATACTGGCCCCATTGCATACCACATATATATTTAAATATGGACACATCTGCCTATGTTTGGCTATACATATACTCATAAACATCTTTTATACACATGGTGTGTTTACTTTTGTCATTGATATTATAATTGTATCTCAAGTAAGAGGTAGAACGTGTCATTTATCTATTTCTGAATTTGGACTTAAGTCCATATACAGAAAGAACTGTAGAATATTCATTAATTTGGATCTTCTGTTGACAGCCATAATTATTATGTTTATGTGAACTAAAGCCTCCTTGTTTAGTCAGTACTAATCATGAATAAAATATAACAAGCCTCACTTTCATTTGAGAGTAGTACATTTGCTTTTTAAAGCAGCAGCCTAGGCACACTAATTCTCTCTAAAATATTTTCATGTGAGTGTAATTATCATCAAGACCTAACATTTTATTTATGCCAACAAAACATTTCATTTTAGGGCTACAAAAAGCATTCTGATTAAATATTTTATAAACAACATTTGGGTTTCTACCCAATATATACATATATATAAAGACATATGTGCATATATTTGCATTCTAACAGTCTTCATCAAGTCCTGATGCACTTTTAAGCCCAAATAACCACCATAGATGAGAAAAGTAGGTTCTGTCTGAAGATTAGCAAACTTTATGACTCTCTCACTTTAGAAAAGTTGTTTTTCCTTTAAATTACACATTCTTTCTATCATACCTGTAATCTACATTATTAGCTGGTAAAGCAAAACAGATTTATTAGCAGTGTTACTAAAAATGAACTGGTTTTATCGGCAGTTAGAGATTATCTAATTCAGCAAACTTCTGAGCTCTACTGAGCCATTTTTATTTAGTAATTGCTCAGTTTTGAGTAAGTTTTTTTCTTATAAAAATTACTCCTAGATCCCTCTGTTGATAAAACTAGATCAAATATAGACTGGGCAGGAAGAATACTGAGTATTTTCAGTGTTTCTGAAGCCTTCTCTGGAGTTACTTCTGTATAATTTGGAGCTAAGAATTTGTTAGAAATTGCTAGTGCTCTTTTTTCTGGACCTTTTTCATACCAGGAATTACACTGGTTCTGTAGCTCTTTTCTTTTCTTGGTTATCACCAGAACAAAAATATTTAAAACAATGGTCCTAAAAAAACAATTTGTGCCTGATTAACGTTGATTTTGAGTTCTTCAATATATAGATCATGTATAGATTAATCTTTAAAATTATTTGCATATTTTGGTCTGGTAAATTCAAATGTACATAATGGAATAACATTTCTTGATTGAACTACACTCTAGTATCTACCTAATTATACAGTAAGGAAAAAGTGATAACAGAACTGTAGCAGGCCTAGTAAAAGTTTATTGTTGATTATCGTATCACTCATGTAGACAGTATACATTTCCACCACACACAGAAGTATATATATGAGGCAGATTGTCTGATTTGTTCATTATCTAGTTCTTATGCTTTTTTTTTTTTTTAACTCTTCTGTCTTCTCATTTATAGCATAGCGTGTTCAGTTCACTTTACTGCTTATTAGTACGTCTTACGAAGGTGATCAAGTGAAATGAAAGCAAGTAAAACACAATTTTCAATTTAGTTCTCGAAAGCTCTGGGAAAACCGGGAAACACAAAGATGATGAGATAAACTAGAGCTGTTGATCTCTGAGTCCCTAGGTAATTCAGTTAGCCTGTGTTTTCATCTTAGGTGCTATGCCTAAATTAGTATAATGTCTTGCTTTATTATTAGGTTTCATGTAAAACTTCTACAGTACTACATTTGAAATAGTAGTAATTTGTTACTAAAATCAGTTGGGAAAAAGAAAATGTGTGGGACCTTCTATGACTAGGCATTTATTATTTTTCATCATCAGTTTTTATTTTCTCAGTATATTATGTTTGTGAACTTGTATATCATAGGAAATAAGATACCTTGTGAAGTTTATTGAGGAAGGTCAATTTGGAGAGCATGGCATTCTCCAAGATAAAGGAAGCAGTAAAAGTATCTGTGTATTATGAAATTATACAGAAAACTTCCTTGCCAAATAAGGTAAATGCAGAAGATATTTTATAAAATAAGTCAGTAAGATGATTGGAAGCTAAGTTTTTATCAGTCTTTTTTAGCAAAGAACAACATTTTAAAATCTGTAGTGGACTTTTATTTATACACATTACTCAAGCATTCTTTCACACTAAATTTTAACAGACTAAGGAAACAAGAAGCCTGAGGCTTTACACATTCTTTACTTTTAGTAGGGATTTATAGGGAAAAAAAAGTCAGGTCAGTAATCCAAATCCAAATATGTGTACTGTAAATGCTCATGAATTCACATTTTTTGAAAAATAAGTTATGAATACAGGTGACTGACTTTGGTATATTAATAACAATTTTGAGAACAGAATAAAATTTAGAAATATCCAAATATCTGCTTAGGAGAATTGTGAAAATAGACAAACTGTTATTCCATTAATAGTATGAATTTAAACAGTACACCTGAATTGATAACATACATGTCTTTCAAAAGTTAGGTTATATTCTAAGCTATATCTTGACTAAATTGTCTATAATTGGTAATTTTTAAATCAAGTACAGTACTTTCTTAAAATAGTTTGGCATGTTAAGCTGCCAAAAATGTTTTGAAATGCCAAGTAACCAGGTAATTTCTGATGACTTTATATAGGCCTTGATATAGATAAGTAAGAATCATTCTCTACATTGTAACTTTGAACATTTATGAAAAACTATATATGTTGATATATTTTGATTAGTGTGAATTTGTTTGCATATTTGAATCCTAATCTTAGTTTAGGAAGTCTAAAAGTAGCGATTTTTGTGAAGTTCATATGCTGTTTTTTTTAATGTTTGGTTTTTAGTGTTTATATAGTAGTAATGTGAGTAGTAAAAAAAAAATTATAAACAAAGCATAGAACTATTAACTGTTCAAAAGCCTAAGTGCTAGGCATATTTTGTATTTCATGTTGCAACTTGTTTCTGTTTCATATTGAACTTTTTACATCCCTTTTTAAGGAAAAAAAGACACATTTGAATTTTTTTTTTTTTTTTTGCATAAAGCTCAGTATGAGGCACTATTAAACTGTATTCATATGGTTAGCAAAACACTTTGCCACCAAAGCTAAATGAAACTGTAAAATACCTCTGGATATTTGTGCCAGTGAACTTTTCTTAGCATATTGGGGTAAAGCAAAAATAATCTTTTCAGTATTTTTCAGCTCGGACTTAGAGTAAACATGTAAATCTTGAAAGTTTATGCTTCATTCCCTAATTTTTCTTTGAAAATAAGGCTTATAGCGTAGTGTATTCTGTTTTGTTTGATTTGTGGAATACTGTTCCTGGATTGTTCTTTTGAAGTACTCTACATATCTTGCATACAGATTCATTTTGTGAGGTAAGACCTTAATTTTTGTTGTACAGGGCCATTTTTAGTACAGGTGTCTCTCATTTATGTGATAGAGAAGTTTACCATGGAATTTTAAAAAAATTGTTTTCTATGTATTTCCATCCAATCCCTTCATACTGTTACATGTTTCACAAGGGGAAAATACCTGCTAGAACCTAATATGATATGATGAAGTAAAAAAATTTGAAATGCATAGCTTAAAGGAAAACATTTTAAAAGTCAAGATGTTAATGGTAACATTAATAGGGTGTTGTACTCTTCAGAGTAAAGTAGAAATATGATAAACTCAGAAACTGACCTGTTTATCTGCTTGAAATACTTTAATTTTTCCCCTGTAGAAACTCTCAAAGGGAATTTCAGTTCCTCATATTAAAGTTTTTTCCATGGTTTAATACCACTTACTATTTCTCTGCCCAGTAATGTTGAGGCAGTTTACATAAGGAGCCTTGAAAGTGAAGAGGTAGCAGAGAAAGCCAAATATTAAAATATTTGGCCTCGATTTAGTAATGGTTTATCCTGTTATCAGTTGAGACCTATAGGTGATAGTAGTAAAAAGTTGATGTCCAAAGGCTAAAAATTCAGTGGACGTTGATCTTTTAAAGAAATTTGTCCTTTGTGTTGAATAATTTTATCCTGATTAGGAGATGCCTGTATTTGACATAATCAGTCATTTTATATAATCAAATATGTATTTGTTGGAATACTGGTAGAAATAAGCTTCCCCTCCTCTACTGCGGAAGAAAAAGAAAACTCCAATTTTTAATGTATATAATATAGGAAATTGTACTAAGTATTGACCTTTTAAAAAAATGACAAATATATTATTTTGAAGTGATTGTATTACAGTTTCTTAAACTTATGACTGACTATAAATGTAGCAGTGTGCCCATGAGAAAACAGACCAAAATTGAATAATCATCACTGTGACCTTGAACCTATAGTCATTTGGGATAAAACAGATTGTGCCTTAAAATGATAAAGGAATGCCCTGCAATTTATAATTGTATATCTTGCTATGGGTGGTCTTCTCAAATTGGCCCCAAATAGTTTTCTTCAAGGTTGGTGAAGTAAAAGTTATTTTTAAAAGTTGACCTGTTTCTCTTAGTATTTGCTCTAGCGGCCTCCTTTAATTTCCAGAATTCTCATTTCAAATTAGAATTGGCTTAAACTCCATAGATGTAGAAAATTACTTTTGGCTAGTTTCTGAAAAAAGTTTTTTTGTTTTGGGAGAAGGTGGTGGCACCTCTGTTTTGAACTTACTACTCTTGGAGAAATTAATCCTCATGTATGTTTTGTTTTATTAATGAATAATTTATCAAAGACATCAATTCTTTCCTTAAACCTGTGCTCATTTTTCCTCAAGTTATTGAGGCTTGTATTTGGTATGTGTCAAATAAAGTTAGTTTACCCAATAATGGTTTTTCAGTAATTAAAATTAACTTATATTCATGTGGTGTATTTTTCAACATTATTTTTCCCTGTGTTTCTTTTTCTTTCCTAATTATTTTCAAGATATGAAGAGAGAACTGACTCCAATTTTTTTTTTAATGTATAGACTTGCATTTTTACTGTGCTTATTTAAAATAATGGATGTAATTTTTATTAAACTCCAAATTATCCTGTTTATAGGACACTCATCGTCCCGGCTGAAACATGCCCACATCTCTGTGTACTTGGAGTTCGTTTTATTTTATAGTTTTCGGTTTCAATTTTGAATATAAACTCAACATCTTTTATTTTTCCCATTTCACCTTCACTACCTCCGAGCCAAAGACAAAAAGATAGGTTTCTCTAAAAATACATAGAAAGAAAACATGTCTTTTCTTAAAGCATGAACAAATTGAGATGGAAGTACTTTGGGGCAAGAGTATGTGATAAAAGAAAATAAATGGTTGTCAACCTGCATCAGTTTTTATCCCAGAGTTAAAAGTTTACAGAGGACAAACTCTTTGTTATGCTGAGATAGATTCAGTAATCATTTATTTGCAAATTGATGGTTTTGTTCTCATCAGAAAATACAGTGCTTGGTAACAATACTTAACAGTGCAAAGGAAGTTGTCCTGTAGAATATCTGAAAAATGATTGTCACCTTGCAGATGTTTCCATTTAAACATGCATGATCTTCTCCAGTACTTTGTAGTATAGTGTACTAAATTTATGTGTAATTTTGTGTATATTTTTTGTTTGGTATAATTAATATTATTACATATAAGTGGTTGTAATTCACACAAAAGTGCTACTTATTGTATTCTGTAGAGTGTTGTGAATATTTTTACCTGTGTTTTAACATTATGGTGTAGGGTTTAATAGATAAATATTTGCCTTCAGTCTCTGCTCAGGTATTAATGTGTAGCAATTTTTGGTGCTTTCTTTTTAATCTGTCATAATGTGGTGTTCTGAATGTTCAACAATAAATTTGATTAACAAGCATGTATGGTGCTAAGATTGCTTACCAGTTCACATACTTCCCTCAGTGCCATCTCTGGAAAAGACCTTCTATACTACATGTCTAACATGAAAATAAATTAGAATGCCTAAGCATCGGACATAATGAACATAAAATATCACAAGTAAATATTGGAAGCAAGATAAACACTAGTATTTTCCAACTTGGCATTTGTTAGCTTCCTACATACATTTTTATGGACATTTCATGGTTCACATTCTATTTTAAGGAACTGTTCAGTTATGCTTCTCCCAGAGGCTATGCTTTCCACTTTCCTAATGCTAACTTGATGTTTATTCCTGAGTGCTCAGTTTCCCAATTTAATTGAGAATGACTGAGGACATTGTTTATAAACAGATTCCCAGGTCATCCCAAACTACTAAATTTGATCTTTACAGGAGAAACCTAAGTGTCTGTTTTCACAAGTGCCCCCAAATAGTAATTCCCAAACAAGTTCGTGAACATTGCCTTCGTCAATAAAATTGATTTGCTGGAGATCCTAAAAGTAGCTAAAAAGACGGTCCTTAGAATGACAAGGTGCCAAAAGAGACACTAAATAATTTAACATAGATCCAGACTTTATTATAGAACTGATGGAGGGGTGCCTTAGATTAAAATATACTAAAATGCTTTAGACATTTCTTGAGGGATGACTATCTTCTTCCGTGTTGATTAGAACAAACCTAACTAGGTTCTCTGCTGAGAGTCTCACACAGCTGAAATCAAGGTGTTAGCCAAGACTGCTGCCCAGTCTGAGGCTCATTCAGGTTCTTGACAGAATCTAGTTCCTTGTGGTTGTAGGACTGAGGTCCCTGTGTCCTTGTTGGCTCAGCCTGGGGCTGTTCTGAACTACAAAATGCTATTCCCTGGCATGTGGCCATTTGCTCCTTCAAGATCCACAGAGCATCCTAAAGGGAAATTTGGTTGCTTGGACAGTGATCTCCAAATTTTTTGATTGCACACCCTTATTAATGAAAAAGTTTTGAGTTTTTTTTTTCCATAAACATAAGTACTGTACTAATATATAAATAGAAAACAAAAGAATGTGATAGAGGTGATCTATATTTAAATGTCTTGCTAGTTATAATAGCTTTATACTATCAGTAACTAGTATCTCGAGATGTAAATATATTTAGGGCAATAGTGGATAAAACTGATTCTTCAAATAATTTTGATAATTTTAATGGAGGGATGGCTTCTTACCAGTGCTAACTAAATTATCATTGTTTTAAATTCTTAATAAAGCTGATAAGAGTAAGAAAGTGTCAGTGCTATTATTTTGTTTTGTTGGCTTGCACTACTGGTATTTCCAACCTGTGGTTTCTTGGAAGAAGTATTTTTAAGCTGCTTTTTCATGTTTTGATAGTTGTGTTAGTTAAAACTAGATAACTTAATAAATACTTAATCCATGAGTCCTTTAACTGGCTCACATAAACTGCAATGTTGCAACATGCTGAAAGTAAACAAGCAAACAAACTAGTGGAGTACCCTGTCAGCCTCCTGCGTGCTGTAGAATTCTCACTCTTCTCTCAGGATACACCCCAGACACTATGCATGAGGTGTGGCCATCTGTCAGAAAGACTGAGCTGTGAGGGCATCAGTGTCACTCCCTGTATAAAATATTATTCATTAGCCTAAAAATATGAAAATGAATCATATGTTCCCACATACCACACCATTTAGAGTGCACACACTCCTCTTTGGAGAAACTTAGGATATATTCTGTAACCCTTTGAGGTTGTCTTTGATAGGTTTTTATATCTATATTTGTTTATAGTACCCTGAAAGCAAAAATGAGGTTTCTGCAACAGGAATAGACTATTAGTATTACTTATAGTAATAATCACATCAGTTTCCTGTGTCTCATTCTTCCCCTTTGAGGGCAATGTGGTAAGAGCTAGGTGGACCTTGCACGTGCAAAAGAGTGGGTTGGTTGGTTGATTTACTTACTCATGCACACACCATAGGAGAAAACCAAAAACCAAACCAGTTGCCATCAAGTCGATTCCAACTCATGGTGACCCCATGTCTGTCAGAGTAGAACTTTGCTCCATAGGATTTTCAGTGGTTGTGACCTTTTGGAAGTAGATCACCAGGCCTTTCTTTTGAGGCATATCTGGGTGGACTTGAATCATCATCCTTTCAGTTAGTAACCTAGCACTTAACTGTTTGCACCACCCAGGCAGTGCACCACAGGTGAGGAACCCCTAAATTATGAATCTGGGAATTTATATAGGTTACTTATTGTCCCCCACCCCTCGTGAGAGAGGAAAAGAAACCTTTGCTCCCTAATATTTTATAATCCTTTGGAACGTAAGAGGTGGTACTTTGAAACGTAAACACATGGCTCCACCAAATAAGAGGCAAGAGGAAGAAGGGCATCGAAGAAAAAAGGACATTTGAGAGCATGTCAGTTTCATTTGCTGAGGAAGTCAAACCACAGAGAGATGCAAAAATGTTCATGGAGCATTGTTTCCCTGATCGTCTTCAGGGAGTACAGAAATATTGCCTCACTGTCTCCTGTTAGAAATATCCAAATGTATTGAGAGTCTTGATCAAGTAGGGCAACTTAAATGTAGTGATCTATAATCCTGCAGTTGTGATCTGTTGGGTGGGGAAGGCGGGAACAAAACTGGTAGAAGAGACTTTGGGGGGGTTCTAATAGGAAGTTCATTAAATTTTTCTGAAAGCCTCTTTCTGTATTAAGCTTTGCCTGGGGCCTTGCCTGACTGTCATGCTGTGGGGGATAGCATGAACACAATTAAAATCTCTTCACATATTGCCAACCGATGGCCCACCTAAATTTTTATTATTCCCGAGATCCTAGGTTCCATAACTACACGGCAGGGAGTGGAGAATGGGTTTTCTGACTCTTCATTTTGTACTCTCTTCATTGTGTCGCCATACCTTACCATTTTAAATTAACTTTTTAAAAGAAGTTCATTGCTCCAGTGAGACTATATTATGCAGTAAGATCTTTAGTTGCCAACATGCAACTAACTGGAATCATTAATCAGAAATATAAGCTGTAATTCAACTTTGAGAGAAAAGAAATAAATCATATGAAAGCTAGATAGTGTAAGCAATTTATTGTAATAAAAACTTTGCAAAACATTTTGTACAGACTAGTTTGTCACCTATACCTTCTCGTTTCAGCAGACGTTCATTGAGTACCTGTTGTACCAGAATCCATGCCAGACACACTGACATTTAGCTTGTCATTTTATTCTTAAAACAACCCTTTCAGTGAGGATTATTATCTCTACATTACAAGAAAGGAAATAGGCTTAAAGAAATTAAGTAATTTGCTCATGGTAGGATTCAAATCAAATTGTCTATCCAAGAAATAGAGTTCTTTCACTGGAGACCTGAAATATGTAATAATATTAGTTCACTTCCTACTCTCTGTCAAAATCTTTTCTGACTATACTATTTATTCCTCTTGCCTTGAAAAAATGTCCTTTCAATGATCTACATTGTTACTTTTTCGATATTTTCCCTTCGAGATGGCATTCAGTTCAATGACTTCAATCTTACATCCTTGGTGAATGATTCACCATGTCAGACTTGCTCCCTCAGTTCAACAACTAAGTATCTGAGTCAGTGGTGGTACATTTAGCCTCTCTACATCCTTCTCCATAAATTATAGATAGTGGTATCTGTCTTACAAACCTGGCGTGAAGATTAAATGAGATAATGTACCAAATACACCTGACACATAGTATGTGCTTGAGAAATGACAGGTATTTCTTCCTAGCTCTCCAAACTCTAGTCTTTTTAAACTTACTGTTGAAATTGAACTTTACAGTTTTTCTCTCTCCCTAATTAGGAACTTTTTTTAGTTTCCAAATTTCTATCAAATCCTCCCAGCTTAATGACATTATTATTTGTATAGAAAATACTCAGAAATATACAAAACAACTACTACTAGAACTACTAAGTAACTATAGCAAGGTCACAAAATACAGGGTCTGTCTTAGGCTGGGTTCTCTAGAGGAGCAAAACCAGTGAAGCGTATATATATATATATAGAGAGAGAGAGAGAGAGATTTATCTCAAGGAAATGGCTCACACAGTTGTGGAGGCTGGCAAGTCCCAAATCCATGGGTCAGGTGTCAGTCTGGAGGCTTCTCCTGACTCACATGGTTGCAGGGGCTGACAAACCCAGAATCAGTTGGTCAGGTGGAAGGCTGCTGGCTCACAGAGTTGCGGGGAGCTGGCATATCCCCAGATTTGCAGGTAAGGCAGCAGGCTGCTGGCTCATGTCCCAGGAGCTGGAGATCAGAGGATGATGAGTTGGATGCAGGATCCAGAGT